AACCAAAAACATTGGCCAAGCACTTTCCCCCTCTAATTTTTAAGCCCATGTGTTTTTAAAGGAAATGTAATCCGTATGTTTTAGTAACATTTATATGCAGCTCATCAAGCCATGCTCCTTCCCATGAGTCATTTGATGTCTAAAATGCATGGGGGAAGCAGGAGTTGAGAAGAGCTGTGTTAGCTTGAGACAGGCCACAGATGGGATGCTGTTCAGAAGGTGGTACCCTGGTCCTGATGCTAGCGCAGAACCACCAGGTTCTCCGTGTACTCACCCATCCATCTTTTCCATCTACACAATTACATTAAAAGTTCTCGCCTACTTCAGATCCTGCGATCAACTCGTGAGAATCAAATCACTAGGTAGCTAATGATATAACTGGGTAATTTTGAATTCCTGAAAGAGGAAAAATCATTCAAAACTTTTATAATTGCCTTAACAAGTCCACTGTAATGTAGCTTCCCAGAGTGCTAGTGAAAGAAAAGCCACACACTCTAACCTTATTGTAAGACACCGAGAGAGTGCATTCTCGCTTCGCCTGCCAGAGAGGTCTGGCTTGGTTTTGTGTTCCAGATAAAATATCCTTGTTTCTGGGGCGGATGAAGTAGACGGTGAAGCTGTGAGCAGTGGTCTACAAACACAGGCTAAGAATGCACAGGTGGCCTTATTGGAGACCGAAACAGTTCTGGGTGGTTGGATAATGGTTTTAGAGGAAGGATTCTGTTCTCCGCATCTGTTGAAGATGAGTTAAGACAAGGAGAGCATGCTACCTAGCATCATAGCATCGGATGGCCAGCTCTGACGTCAGCCAGACACGGCTGCCCACCAGCACTGCAGCTTTGCTCCGCGGTGGTGGAAAAACTGCTTTCCTCCGGCAGGCCTCAAACCTTTGGAAAATGCAGGCTTGAAAATCAGAGAAAAGTGAAGGATGAGCCTCCAAATGGTTAAGTGTTCCTTTGTAGTGAACCGAGACAGTTACTAATGGTCCTTAAAGTAACCTCTGGGGGTGGGGTTAAATTTTTTAATTGACACATAGTGTATAGCTGTTTATGTGTTGCAGTCTGATAACTCAGCATGGGAGGACAATATGCAATAGTCAGATCAGGGCAAGATTTCATTCTTCTTAAGCATTTCATTCCATTGGATCAGGAAGTTTTAACCTGTTCTAGATCTTTATTTAAAAAAAAATATGATAAACCGTGAGCTTCAGTTATCCTAAAATGTTGTGACATATTAGACCTTATTCTCTACTGCAGTTTGGTATCTACCATCCTGCTTTTCCTGCCCCTCCTCACTCTCTCCCTCTGACTCCCAGTAGTAATTGTTCTGCTTCTCAGTTCTACAAAACTCAACCATTTTAAGTTCTGCGTATGTAACGTGCCACTTGGATTTTTGTGATGACTTATTTCACTTATTGTCCTTCAGTTCCACTGATTCACAAATGACAGGACTCCATCAGCCTTTTTTGTTTTTTAAACGTGGCTTGCAGGCTTTGTATAACAAAAAATAAAGAAAGAAAGAATTTTCACACTATAATAAATTAAGCATTAAGATGGGAGATGGGCTAATGCCTGACTTCAGAGCTATGCACTATTGTGCCAGCCGTCTGTCCTTGATTTACCCCTAATTCCACTCTGAAGGAGTCTTCCAGAGAAGAGGAACCCACCAAGCATGGCAAAAACTTAAGTATATTCCTAGGCAGCACAACATTCTCTAGTCTCCTGGGGGACCTTCCCTCAGGGCTTCAGCTAAGAGGGTCTCAGAACTCCCTGGCCAGTGGCAAATCCTTCAATATCTGGCAGTCCCAGTCTCCGTGTGGAAGTGGATTCCGCTTCCTGAAGCGTAGGTTCAGTGTTGGTCAGCACAGCTATTTTGCCATACCTGGGCACCTTCCACCCCATGCTGCCGTGCAGTTACAGACAGGGCCTCGCTCTGGAGCCACAGGCGTCCTTCAGAGTCAAACGTAGCAAACACATATTTCTCTTCACACCTTCTTTCTGCAACCCCCTACCTGAGTCATAGCATTTTGTCGTCGACACTAACCCCAGCCACTCTCTAGAAACAGCTTCGACTCCCTCTCGACCTGACTGAATTGTCTTACATGAAAATCGGCATATTTCTCTTGCTTTCTTTGAAACACGGCATGAACATTCTAGATAGTAATCTCCAGGGGTGTACGCCTTCTACTGTAGCTTCCAAGAGTAGGGTGGCTATCACCAGGAAGTACTAGCTGAGGAATTAAAGCCAAGTTTAGTAAAGTAATTTGACCAAATCCTCCAGATTGCAAGGACTCCCGTGGAAGACAAAGGAAGGAAAAGGAGAGCAGTACATTAAGCATCTGTAAGAAAATAAACAAATGCTAAACACTACTAGAGACCATCCTCCTCCAAAAGGAAGGAATCATTGAATAAATACCATGGGCGTGTCTGACCCTGGAGACATATATTTGAGTATAGAACAGAAATTCTTACCTTGGGAGATAAGACCTTCTAAAAATAAAAAGGACATGGCAGGCTTATTTTAAAAATGTACAGCTGCCCATGTATGCAGTCACACTTACATACTAGGAGCCCGCAGAACCCTGAAAAGCCATCCATGGGCTCCAAACTCCAGGTTTCAAACACCCTTACCATACACGGCCTACCTAGCCTGAGCCTAATGTCGCTTTTTAACACCCTGCCATTAACTAGGTCTTCAAGAAGCTCAGAGTGCAGAATCTTAGAAACGAAGAAAAGGAAAACGCTTTTGTGACCTGGGCTATGAGTTCATGGTGGGGGACGTCTGAGAGAGAATGAATGTCTGTTTGTTCTTTTCAGGCAATGCTTTGAAGATGAAGGCCTTTGTGGAACAGAAAAACATTTGACCAGGAACCACTTGCTCCCTGAGGTCTAGAGTGCTTTACCATTGACTGTGATCTAGAACACAGTACTTAATGCTGTTATCTAAAAACGGGAAGATTGTCTGAATTTTATATTACTCAATGGGTGTGACCTTACAGAGTTTGAGACAAGCAAAGTCTATGGGAACCTAAATGACTGATGAACATAAACTAAGAGTTTAGTAAAGAAGCACTTTTGTAAAGCATTTTATGGGGGAAATGATCACCAGAGGTGGTTTGAGACATATGTCTACGGCATCCTGAGGTATTGCTCGGTGAAGAAGGCACAGTCAGCGAATGTCGTGATGCAGTTCAGTCATCATGTATACATTATAGAATGGCCCTACCCAAATCTAGACATACGCGCTCTCCACACCTTTTCTGTAAGGTAGACACCATCACACATGGGATCTGTTCACACTGCAGTGCCTGATTAAATGATGCATCCCATATTTCATGGAGTAGTTCTAAATATAAACTGTTGGTGTATCCAAAAACTGCTGGAGAGAGAATACCAAAGATAATTCCTGACAATCTGCTGGCCAGATGTAAAGCCATCCTTGCAGATTATGAAAGAAGTCTGGTCCTGATGAAAGTCAATCGCGTCGCAATGCCTGTGCTACAGCAGACAGACGCATCACACTAGCTCAGCCTGTTGTGGGTATCTGATGAATTTGCCTAATTGGAGACTGTGGCTATGTCTGGTTCCCCTAGCCATCTCGGATGTCTCCTAATTTTCTATAGATGACAGATTTGCATTTTATGTAGGAAATCATTTAGAGAGAAGAAAGCATTATTGGTCAGAAAACCAGTACAGTCTCTAAGGCATTTGACAACCGGACACAATGATCCTGCGAACATCTGCAACTCCTGGAACTGATGGCATGGGTCATAAGGAAAGGTGGCATTCCCCTTCATCACTGGAAACATCCCTTTTCTGTAACAGATGGAGACTATCATGGAAAACCACAATTGACCGAAAGACAGAGTGAGTTCTGAGACCAAGCTCCAGCTGATACATATACAACCCAACTCCTACACCCAAGCCTCAGGCAGCATCACTTTGGAAAAGGGACTGAAAGATTCTAAGAGCCAGAGGAACAGGAAATTTGCTGTGAGAGCTTTTCTCCTAGAGATATCAAAGAAGCGACATGCATGAAGTCTCACCAACGTAGCTACCTAAACATGACCTGAAGAAGGATGACACAAGTAGGCATGCTGATGGGGAAGAAGGGATGCTCACAGCCCTGAATCAAGAACCACAGGCCAATGGCGAATGCAGAGGGAGGGAGATCCAGTCTTCCTGCAGAGAGGAGCACATCACTCGGCTACCCAGTAGCGCAGGGCCAGCATGGAAACATCCATACACACAACATTAGACAGACTGTATACTCAGCAATGAAACACACACACAAACACACGTGCACATGTGTGTGCATGCATGTCCATGCAACAACAATTGAAGAGAAGAACGAGTTTGAAAGAGAGCAAGGGGAGAGTGCATGGGAGGACTTGGAGGATGGAAAAGAATGGGAGGAAATGGTATAGTTATCTCAAAAAATAGAAAAAGGATTTTTATAAAAGGAACAAAAGAAAGAAACACTCCCCCTTAATAAAGCCAAAAGTGTACATGACTTGGAGGAGTATTTCCTGGGGATAAAATAATTACATTTTTTTTCACAAAGTTCAACTCATAAAGGTAGTAATTTTCTGGAATATTTTATTTTTCATAAGTGTAAAGTACCTGAGACACCACTGCAGCCAATATGTTCACCTTCAGGTACCAGAAAAATGCACCAATCCATCAATAACAATAAGTGATCATGTGACTTGCTTCCCATGGACTGAATCACACAGGACAAGGTAGGGGGTAAAACAACATGAAGGATTGGGTATGGAAATTTAGGTTGTGTAAGAAAAAATTTGGGAGGCGTGCGTTTTGTGGGAGCAGAGTTGGGGATTCTTGAGTTAAGTCACCAATTTCTCATCCCCTGAGTCAACGTGGCTGCAGAATGTCTAAGCCCTCTCTGGACATCAGGAGCCAAGAGCCACCAATGAGATGAGGGAAAAGGAATTTCAAAAAGAAAAGAAGCTTGTGAGTCTCCTGTCCTGATGCTCTTACCTGTTTCTTCCAGAATCTCTGAATCCTTTAGCAAATGGATTTCGGTCAATTTTTAATCTGGTGATCTGGAAATAAACAGATAAATATCACTTGTTTTCATATTAACCAATTTCCTTTTGTGTTGCTCCTAGAAAATTAACAAAAACTCACTCTATTAATAACATCTGTTGTTTTCATTTCGTTTCCTTTTCGTTAGAGATTTAAATTTCAGTTTGACATAGGGCTTGGGCCTGGCACCCAGATGTGTGACTCACTTCTTTCTGACAACCAAGACTTGCCCTCTGTGTGACTGGAATCTCACTCCTACACCCTGTTCTTACCCTAAACTAATGATAAACATTTTGTGTATACAGACACAGAGAAAGGAAATGAGTGACGGCGAGGCCCGTTGCTGGTGACACGCAGTAGGCACTTCAGGCACACTTGTCAGACAGATACTGTGCAAGTGAATGCGTGATGGATAGGTGGTTACATTGATTGACTCAGTCCCGCAAACGACCAACAGACAGCTTCAGCCTGAGGGAGCCAAATAATTGGCTGCATTTCTCACGTAACATAACATGTGCCTTTCCTGCCACCAGAAATTGCTCTTTTAATGACCTGAAAAGTTTATAGAAATGACACAAAAAGCAGCTCAGTCTTTACCCAAAGTAGGGAGCTTCCTCAAATATGAAACTGAATGGGGCCGCATGAACTGCACCTCATTCAGTCTCCAAGACTCATCAGCAAGTGAACAAAGCCAGCACATACACGTGGGCCACCCTCTCGGCCAGGTCCTCAGAAGCCTCCTATTAGTACGTCAGAGTCCACTGAATCCTCTCTTAGTCCCAGTAAACCCTGACACAGTTGGACATATCATCCTAATGCTTCTAGACTAGAAAAAGCCTGAACAACATATTCCATATGAGCGCTAGTGTTTCTGCTTCCAGTCCTGGCCACGGGAGGCATTTCTGATACCTTTATGTCTGAACCAGATGTAAATGACTTGCTCTACCCAAGACACAGACACTCGGGCTTCCAGAAGCCAGTAAGCCTTATGTCCCATCTTAAAAATTAAATTATACACATTCTTCAAGACCTGGCTCTCTGAGATAAAGGTACAGAGACTCGCAGCGTGTTGATTCCTCCTAGATCTCAGACTAAGTCAAAATTTTGAAATTTCAGGCTAATTTGAAAACACTTTATGAAATTACTTTTCCCGTATCTCATTGGGGGTCCTAGGCTCCTGATTCCCAGAGAGTGTTTGGTCCCATACTCTGCAACCACACTGATTCGCTGAAAGAGAAATGGGTAATTTAGTCAGGACTCCCCAAGTTCCCCTTCCACAAAAGGCACGTCTTCCGAATTCTTTATTACACAACCTGAAGGCTAGGGAGCTCAAAAGAATGGAAGAGACTCTGAAAAGCCAGCCTAGAAATATGGAAATCTCGCCCTTTACAGGCAGACTCCGATTGCTGCTCACTGCAAACGCATTCTCATGAAGACAACGAAAGTCCTTTCCTACACCGTCTTCCCTCTCACCTCGACAGAGAGGAGTTTCCCACCGCCGCAGACTTTAAAATGTCTTTAAAATGCAATAAATGCAATGTGAGATTCTCACAAGCAGACTCTGACTTGAAAGCGCCAAGCTGGCTTCCAGGTTAGTTTGCTCCCTGAACATTCCTTGCCTCTAGAATGGTGTGCTAATAATGTAGCGAAGGCAATTTTACATCTATTTTATAGACGAGAGCAGGAGCCTAGAGGTTCGCCTTTCTGAAGCCCAGTGTCTGCCATGTGAAGACTGTATTGAATTTAAAGAGTGCCACTGCTTCTCTGTGTTAGACTTAAAATCGGCTCTTTCTTCCCCCATAACCCACCGCAATAAACCACACGCCATATTTTCTTTTCAAGTTGAGGTTATAATATTTTATTTTCTCTTTCAAGTTGGCTTATCCTGTCCAACTCATTTATGATAGCGGTTCCTGATATACAATCGCACTGCCGTGTTTGGGGTACCTCCACAGACCCCTGTAAATATAACGACATTCTAGTTCACGGCCTGGGAGAAAGAGTTGAAAATCTGATTCCCACAGCTGAGTGCAGCCAAGGCCAACGGATCTGTATGGAAATTTAATAGAAAGAGGCCAAAGACGTCGGGGGAAAATAGCACTCCTGTTCTTGTTCCAACAATTTTAATGAGAAGTTTAGAGAGATTTATGAAGAGTGTGGTTGTGACGGTTGTTATTTATCAAATATCTTTTGTGCACTAAAGGTGACAGGTGACACTGGCGACAGTTTGGTGAGTAGTCAGCAGACGACTGTGCCGCCTCTTTGCTCTCAAAGAAGCTTATAATCCAGAAGAACAAAGGGCAGGCCTGCACAGTGGTAACAACATAAAAACAGATCATAATTAGATCCACAGCAAAGTCACCTGAAAATTCGGAGGAATCAGCAAGCTGAAAGACTCCGAGATTTCACCGTAGAGGTAATAGAAGAGCCACCTTGAAGAATATGAACAATTTCATTTTTAAAATTAGTCACAAAGTCCACTGCCCCCTGGAGGACAAGGAGGAGCACAAGGTGAATGTCCATCAAGAACTGGCGGGTCCTTTCTTCCTCCTCCCTCAAGGGAGCCAGAGGATAAGTAGACAGTCAGATTCCCTGTGCCTGTCTTCCCATTCAGACTGAAATCTGGAGGGTGTGGGAGAGACTGGCAGGGTTCACGCTATATGTATGTATGTGGAGGTGCCTAACAATGACACAGACATGCTGCAAACTCGGGGCTTAAACAGAGGATTTGCATGAGTCTTGGTGGAAAGCTGGACCAAGAAAGAAACCCAAGAGGCAAGAAAACAAGGTTTCACTTGAGCATTGTTGTCAAAACGTGTCGACACCAGGGACCGAGCAACAGCCCCGGCAGCTGCTTCAGCACTGCAGGGAGCCCAGAGACAGTAGAGGAACCCGCAAGCAGCCATGAGGATACGGAAATCTCTCACTTCCACCCATGTGCACCATACAACCAGAGGCCGGAAGTCCACTGGGGGAAGAGGAAACTAACCTGTGCACACAAATCAAATCAAAGTATGCTGAGAGATATAAACTTAAAATAGAAATGCAGAAAGACGAAAGCATGTGTCCCTACCCATTACAGATGAAGTCCTTTTAGGGAAAACAACTACACAAAATTTATATATATATATATATATACACAGAGAGAGAGAGAGAGAGAGAGAGAGAGAGAGAGAGAGAGAGAGAGAGAATGCAGAGAGGAATAAGAGAACATATTAGTGATTTCCAACTCCATGTCATATTATCTTTTATCAGTGAAATTCAGATATGTCTTCTCACCTTCCCATCACAGGCCAGTTATATTCTTGACTAAACTGCTCTAAATGGCCTTCAAACTGACCTCCTTCCTTCTACTTCCTATCCAGTCTAAACAGCAGCCTGAGGGATCTGCATCCGGACATTTCTACAGCGCGCTGTTTTTTCCCAGTGACTACCCCTGTAGGGAATTCAATCCATCCTCCTTGACCAGCCTTGCAGGGCCAGCAGGCTCTGGCTCCAGCCCAGGCTCCAACGCTAGCACATTCCTCTACCTTTGTCCCCTGGCTCTAGCCAAACTGAACTACGGTCCATGCTGGAATGTTCCAAGTCCTTTCCTGGGAGGCCTTTCAGGGTGCTCTGCTCGGTTACTCGACCTTACACAGAGCTGACTTCATACTAAATCTCATGCTAAAGCTCTGGGCTCAGGAGGCCACTCCCCTGACCACCTCTGATGGCCTCTTCAACTGTGCTATCTTTAAGCCATCTTTCCCCTTAATTCAACTGTTTGCTTTAGCCGCCTGTTTGTTACTTATTTCCATGTTTACTGTCTATTCCCCTGTGTGACAAGGTCTATACATATTATAAGTACTGTCTTATTAAGTGGGGCCTAGAATGACATGCATTTGGGAACCAATGTGATTTTGTTAATGAATAATGATTGAATGGGTGGTTATTGGGATGGTTCATCAAACCCAAAACAAGGACAAGATTGAGCGATTCTTCAGCAGGCCCTGCCTCAACTCCCAGTTCTGTGTTCTGCCTCACAATGATTGTTAGTGTCTTTCCAGCTAGGATAAGGTTTATTAGTATGAAGTTGACGCTGTTCAACAGCAATCATGCTCAAACTCGGTTCTGTGGTAAGAAGACATGGAAAAGGTGAAAGCCATCAAAGCAGTGTCCTTCGCTGATTCATTTTCCTAACCTTAAGAGTGTTTTGTCTGAGGTATTGAGGACTGGAAGAAAATGGAGCACTTGTGGGTTTGTCACCATTAATTTTACATTGCTGCTGGCTTTTTATTTATTTTTTTTGCCTAGTAACATGGGCAGTTAATAAGTTAAGTATACCTCACAATGCATAATATCATGTGAACATAAATAGCACAGACTCCAGAGAGGAAACCTCAAGAAGAGTATTTTGATTAGATAAAACCCGGGTCAAAAAAGTCTCCCTTATTACTGCTCCTGATTGTTCTTATTTTCTAACAATACATATGGGCGACTTTTTTATAAAGAATGAAAAAAAAAACCTGCTTGAGTTAGTGTGTTCAAAATAAAAAGAAATCTGCCTTGGTCTAATTGCAAAGTAAAGGAAAACTGGTTGGGCCATGTAGGATATGAAGTGGCTCAGAATCCTGCTGGATTTGCTCCCACAAACCTGGCAGTGGTTTCAGACAGCCTCTCTGCTCGTGGAGCCAATTCTCATCGAGTATAAGATTGTTACCTGGGGAGAGCACGGCTATGCTTTTCTGAAATTTAGTTTCCTGCCTGAGGAAAAAAAGATAAAATTTCAGCAGTCTTTTTCCTTGGAGAGGACAAAGACCACACTGGAAATTTCCTGCGAATTCCATAAGGTCGTGCTGGCATCACTGTCTTCAAAGAAAAGGGACAGAGTATTGCATCGCCTTTATTCTCAGTCTACCAACTTACCTCCGTGAGGAGATTCTGGGCATGGTGTACCATTCTCTCTCACAGATCTGCCAAGTTGGCATTCTGAGAGCAAATATTAGTAATAATAACTTCAGTGTGTTAGGAACTCTGAGAGTCTATAGATTGGGGAGGCAAGTGTGAGGAAGGAATGGAAAGGGGGAAGAAAAACATAAAATATTCCATGAAAATAAAAATGTTTAATTCACACTTCACAGCCAAAGGGGCAGATTTATGGGTGTATAAGGAAGCCAATATCAAAGTCATGATGGCTCTCAGGGATGCAGTCACTTATGATACACATGCCCAAACTATACCACCAAACAGATGTAAATACTTTTAAATTATGGAAACATCCTTCATCTTAACTCAAGGATTCTAGACCTTAGAATTTCATAAACTGCTCTAATCGCTCCCCCAACATTTGAGAAATCAACATTTATGTTCCTATTTTTACTCAATAGAGTGAAAATAACCTGGAAAAAATTAACACCTACCTATTCTACAGGTATCGCTATTTCATAAAGTAAGTAACATTTTGCATCAAAAAGTAGACAGGCCAGAACAGAACAATGATGGAGGAGGGTTATCTGTCTATTGTGTTATTTTCATTGGTCAATAAAGAGACTGCTTTGGCCCTTTGATAGCACAGAAAATTAGGTAGGCGGAGTAAACAGAATAGAATGCTGGGAAGAGGGCTATGAGGCAGATGCCATGGAGTCAGCCACCAGGTCAGACATGCTGAATCTTTTCCGGTAAGCCACCAGCTCGTGGTGCTATACAGATTATTAGAAATGGGTTAATATCAAGATATGAGAGTTAGTCAGTAACTAACTCTCTAGAGATAATGGGCCAGGCAGTGCTTAAATGAATACAATTTGTGTGTTGTTATTTCTGGGACTAAGCTAGCTATGCAGGAACCAAGGCGGGATGAAAAGCAGGCCTGCCCGCAGTTCCTTACTACATATGGCGCCCAGACGTGGATAACTGAATCCACAGAAAGCTTGAGAAAGCATGGGAAAGAATAGAGTAAAGCATGTTTTGTTGGTAGCAGCAATTTCTCGGGTCTGCTGTGCTTGCTAGAGGCAAGCAAGCACTCTCATCTAAGAGAAGCTTCCTGACTCAGCTTTAGCTGCTAAACCTTGTAGCTCTTTTAAAGGTCCTGCCACGAAACACTTAAACAGTGTTGATGAAAAGCTGAACGCATGCTTTCCGGGTTTTCAGCTGTGGCAGGAGAAAAGCTGTGCTGTTTTAAAATGCCGGCTTTCTGGGCTGTCCTGCCAGGGCAAACTCTGACTCTTTCAGGCAGGCAGTCCGACTGAGTGTGGTCTGTGAGCAGAATGCTGCAGCTTGCTGGCAAGGACCTTGAAACGCCATAGAGTTGTGGCAGTGAACCCATCTCTGGCTGGTACCTCAGCCATGATGCTGGAAAGCTAAATAATGGGCTGGATCTAGCTGTCAAAGCCACGGCTTTAGTCCTACTGATATTGCTTGGTAAATTAAAGATTCATGTGGTCAGAAAAAGAGAGATATACAGTAAAGAGAGATTCAAAGACAAAGAAAACCTCTAAATGGTTTATAGTGTGTTACAAATAAATGCAGGATAAAAGTTAAAGTTCTTAAAGTAAAAAGGGAGTAGTTAGGTGTGGTGGTACACACCTTTAATCCCAATGCCCAGGAGGTAGAGGCATATTGACCTCTGTGACTTCAAGGTGTGGTAGCACACACCTTTAATCCTAATGCCTGGGAGGCAGGGACAGACAGATCTCTGTGAGTTCAAGGACAGCCTGGTCTACAGAGTTATTCTAGGACAAAGATATACAGAGAACCTGTGTCAAAAAGTAAAAGTAAAAATAAAAGAAATAGAGGTTAAAAATAAAGCTGCATAAAGATGGAAAATACACAGAGAATCTTGATACTGTATGCTATTATGCTCTCTTTGAATTGTTTGAATGCTGAGGAAGGAGCAACAGCTGATAAAAGACTTTTGTTTATAAATGCTGCTGAACTAATTCAAGATAGATATTTTGAAAATACCTTGACTTCAGAATTTGTATCTAAAAATATGATACTTTGGAAAGGAGGTTCTTCTTTTGTTTTCACAGAGGATGAGACCCTGTGGATTGCTTCTATCCCAATATGGTATGATAGACCACGCCCTCCTGAAAGGTTTCTGTGAACACCCTCAAAAAATTTCTTCACTCAACTGCCGGCTGAGATGAACCTGGCAGACAGGTTATACCATGAAAGACCTGATTAACTGCGCCCCTATACAGCAGGAAGAAGTTTGGAGAGAAATAACTACGTCCATATTCCCAAATATTGTTTATAAATGTTCTTTTACATTTAAAGGGGGATATGATATAGATATGAATAATTTCATTGGTATGGATTTTAAGGTCAATTTTGTTATATGTATATATATTTCTGATCTTGACTGATGTATTGTGATTGTGTAGTTCATTTTAAAAATGTAATGTATAATTAAAAATATAGGTTGTTAGTGGATAATCATTGATAAAAGTCAAGCTTGTAGTAATGTTAGTTTGATTTTCTAGATGTGCATAGATATATTTCAGATACGCATTCTTCATATCTTTCAAAGACTTCAGAACATGGCATTTAATGTTTTAATAACTTAGGACTTTTCATGACAATGAGACACGTCTGCTCCTGGCAGCACCAATCTACTTCAAGAGGAAAATGGGCATCGAAGAGGCTCCTTATGGAGTTTGATAGCCATTTTGGGCAAGAAACTGCTCTTGCCTGGACTGTTGTATAAACTGGACACAGAACCTGCAGAGAGAGGACTGCTGAACTTGCCTAAAGGTGAGATGATCTTTCGGGGTTCCTGATTCATGAAAGAGTCTGCGAGACATTCTGCAGGACACAACTGAACTGCCTTTAAAATTTCCTGCTTCATGGAAATGTCTCTGGATATTATGGGCCTGAAGGCCAAAAATGGATGCCCCAACGATACAGAGGAACTTTGGGTGACTGTCCAGGCAGCGAGATGTCTCTGTCATTTCTAGAGTTTTGGAAGTTGCTTACTTCTTGTTTACTTAGGTAATATATCCTTCTGGAGTCTTTGATGGAGTTGAAGAATGGATAGTCATAGTTATAGTTTTCCATTATTATGATAAAGATATAGTTATAAATATTGTGACTGTAATTCTTGCTTGATAACTGTTTTGTTATATGTAATTTTACTATGTTAAAATGAAAGCCTTTCTTTTTTGTTTAAACAGAAAAAGGGGAAATGATGGAGGAGGGTTATCTGTCTATTGTGTTATTTTCATTGGTCAATAAAGAGACTGCCTTGGCCCTTTGATAGGACAGAAAATTAGGTAGGCGGAGTAAACAGAATAGAATGCTGGGAAGAGGGCTATGAGGCAGATGCCATGGAGTCAGCCACCAGGTCAGACATGCTGAATCTTTTCCGGTAAGCCACCAGCTCGTGGTGCTATACAGATTATTAGAAATGGGTTAATATCAAGATATGAGAGTTAGTCAGTAACTAACTCTCTAGAGATAATGGGCCAGGCAGTGCTTAAATGAATACAATTTGTGTGTTGTTATTTCTGGGACTAAGCTAGCTGTGCAGGAACCAACGCAGGATGAAAAGCAGGCCTGCCCGCAGTTCCTTACTACAGAACAATGTGAGTGTTTGTAGCTGTATTTTCCAGTGAACTGCTTCTCCACAGACACGGACACTGACTCAGACCCATTATCAGCGGGCAAACTTGAGCACTGCAAACAGGGCTTTACTTTACCAGAGCAGTGCGGCTCACCAGCGATACTGTCCAGCTCATGCCTCGGAACCTCCAGCTGGCATTTTTTCCCATATCACAGGGCAGTGTTTACTGGTTCTCAAAAGAAAGCACTCTCAAGTTGGAGGAAGATTAGTTAGACCTCGGTTCTTCTACGAGGAATATCAAGAAAGGGGTACAGCACCTAAGTAAGGCTCTGAAGGCTGAGCTCATTTGCAACCAGGAAAGACGGTTTTAGGCTTTGGTTAGAAATGTCACCTAACTTGAAAGGTGGAAGGATGGGGACGGTCCTGGGGAACGACCTGTACCAACAAGGCAGTACAAGTTCAACAAGAACATCAGCTAGATCCCTGCACTCCTGTAAGGACGTGGGGGG